TGTAAAATTCAAAATGATAACCAATAGCTTCCACTGAAGAGAAAAAGCTGCATGAACATCGATAATTGAACAATACTGAGATGTGAATTTTAAAGTGTTGTTCATTCAGTCACTCCCTCTCTAGACTCATGTGTCCTAATGAGAGTCTCCTATTATCTTTCTGTGGAGGAAAAAAAAAAACCACTTGGTCAGCAGTGTTGTTAAGGGAACAGGGAAATGGACACTCTTGGATACTGCTGACAGGGTTGCTAGGGACCTAAGTTGGTTTGGGCATTCACAAATGGCAATCTGACAATATGTAAATGCTGTCCAAAGGGAGAATTGTTTAAATGAATTATGGAATATTCATACAAGGGAATACTGTGTGTACCATGAAAATAATGCTTCAGATTAATAGTGAAATGGAATGCATTGTTGAGTGAGAAAAATAAGAGGCAATGGACACACTGTGATTTGAAATGTGTGTGTGTGTGTAGGATTGTATATGTGTGTGCAGGAAATCTACACACATAAAAAGACTAGAGAATGATAATGCTAATACGTCGAAGGTAATTACTTCAGAGTTGGAATTATAAAGGGATTTTTTAATTGGGGAATACTTTTCAGCATTGTTTTTTGAGTTTTCTTACAAAGAACATGTATTTCTGTCATAATTTGAGGTGGTAGAGGAAGGCCTGGAAGTTTTCTTTCTTTGTTTTGCTTTTTAAGAAATGAAAAAATTCCAGATCAGGTCATCTCAGCTCTAGGAAAAAAAAATCCAAATAAAATCATTAATTTATGTGACAGAATTAAAGATAGAGACTTGGTGGGTTGATGGAATTTCTAGTAGTGTAGAATTTTCTAATGACCTATCAAAGAGGCCGCTTCAAGGTTTTACTTGTACAAGCAATGAAATGAATGGAAATACAGTGTACTTGCAAAGAAGATGAGCTCAACTCTCTCAAGAAAATTGTGCTTTGTTACTGGTGATTTGCTACTGGCAATGTGGATGGCAGGCAACTGGGACAATTCCAGAACCAGCTGGGTAAGGGTTGTGGTTGGAGTAAGCTCCAATCTCCCCATAGTTGGACTGTTGAGGGAAGAGAGTTTGAGAGAAATGATCTCTAATCTTAGATTTCTAAATAAAAGTTGATTTTGTTATGTAAAATATTGTGGTTGTTATAAAATTTGAATAAGAAATTATATATTGAACATCAGTTTTCTTATTTTCCTTAGGTTTTTCTCTGCCCTCCTTCCAAATTCAATTATAGACACGGTGGAAGTTATCTCTGAACCTTCTCCCTGCTATTTCCTTGCCTTTCTCCTTGGAGGCAACCACACAAATTGTTTCAGTGTTCATCATTCTCATGTTTGTTTAAGAATTTTAAAAACATATTTTGCATCATTAATTGCAATAGAAAAAGCAATAAAATATTATTTTCTAGACATATTTGTGGATTTTTGGATTTTGCTGTTGGTTTATCCATGCTAACAGTTGTTATAACTATACATTAACTGCTGTATAGTTTTTCATTGTGAAAGTATATCACAATGTATTTGTCCATTCTTCCATTAATGGACATTCAGATTGTGTTTTTGAAACAATTCTGCAATGAACCTTCTTGAACTTATATCCCTATCTAGGGTATGTACCGAGAAATGGAATTGTGGGGTCACAAGAAAAGTGTATCTTCAACCCAACTAGTTATATAGTTGTACCAATGTATAGGTCTCAAAATGTCTGAGACTTCTTACCAATCTTTGTAATTTTTCTTTACATTTTTGCCAGTCTAGAGGGTGTGAGATGGTTTCTGATTATCATTTATTTTTATTTTCCTAATTAACACCAGGCTAAACACCTTTTTATATGTTTATTGGCCATTTAGATTTCCTTTTCTGTTAGTAAATTTATTTATTTATTCATTTATTTTTGGTACCAGGGATTGAACCCAAGGGGTTCAATTCTACCTTGGGTTCAAATCCACTGAGCCACATTCCCAGCTCTGTTAGTAACTTTTTATATCTTTTGATCACTTTCTTGATGGGTTGCTAATCTTTTTCTTCTTAGTTTAATCTGAGTTTTAAACAAAAAATAAGAAAAGGAAATCCATCTATTCAACATATTTCTCTTGAGTGAAAATTGGCTGTTAGATGCTATGAAAAGAAAGGAAAATGAAAAAGATGACACTCTTTCATGCAAATACTTAATTTATGCTATTTTTGATGGGAAGAGAAAATTCTTTAACATTGTATCAGCGTTGCTGTAGGGTGAAGCGGTTACTTCATTTATATTCTGTTCTTAAGATTCATATCAGACTCTCCCTAACAAAAATGCAAAATTATCTAAGTACAATTACACAGTGTTTCTCCTTAATTATCCAAATAAAGCACATATTCTGAAGTCTAGAATGAAAAAACAGAGGGGGCTGGCCATGCTTCCCCAAGGTTATCTTGCACTCATTACAGAGCAGCAGCCCATGTGGCATGGGCAGGGGTACACAGAATGACTAATGCACTAACAAGGCTTACGTGGACCTCCCACCCCCCTATAATCGCATTCCTTTCATTAGTTTTCACCCAGCTGGTCTGAGTTGCACAAACAAAATATTGTATGAGATCGGCCCATTGATGGTAAATTCGGAATAATTTTTGTAAAACCCTTGCCAAGTTACATACTGACCCCAGGGTCTTTAAACCAGCCAAAAAATGTTGAGCAAAAACTGAATTAAATCTATTATCACAAATTTGTGCCCCATAATCTGATGAGACTTCCAGATGTCCAGCCAGAGACCATCTGCTGAATGTCTGTGGGCACACACTCCCGGAACATGTGCATGGCTAAGGGTAGCAGAGTGACAGCTTGGAGCTCCAAAACTCTGAGCAGTTCCTGCTTGGACATAAAGCAGACAAAGAAAAAAACAAGTCGGAGGCTTTCTTTTTGAGAGTTCTTTTTTTAAATCATCATTTTCTTTCCATTTAACTGATCAGTTGCCTTATTCTGGGAGTCAAATCATGGCTTTTCCAAGTCATAATAATGAGATAGGCTCATTTCTCTCAAAGATATCAGACTGTGATTTTTTAATATTTAAAGAGGTAGCAACAAAAATATTTGGGAGTTAATTTCTAACTTAGACTTGGTCATAATGCCGAGTAGCCTGCTTTGTTCATTGCTGTCAGAACTCCCAAACAGACTGTCAGAAGGAGATATATGTGTAGGAGGATTACTGGGAAGTACTCTCAAGAACAAGATGAGTGAGGGACTAAGGGAAGTACCATCGTGCAGAGGGGAAGTTGGATTGAGAGATAATGGACAATGAGAGACAGTGGAGGCCTCCACCAGGCTTGTGGGGAGCTACGGAGCTCAGGCAGTGTGATTAATGACTGATTTTGTGTGTCAACTTGGTTACTCTGTGGTGCCCAATTTTTTGGTCAAATTTCAGGTATTGCTGTGAAGATATTTTTAAGATGTGATTAACACTTAAACCAATAGTTTTCAGTGAAGTCCATAATGTGAATACAATTCACTGAAGGCTTTCAGAGCATAGATTGGGGTTAACAAAGAAGAAATTCTCAAGATTGGAATGTCAGTCTTAAAATCCTGCTTCAGTTTCCAGTATACTGCTTTGTGAAATTCAGACTAAAAATTACAACTTGACTATTCACCTCTGTTTCCACTCTATTGGAAAGGAAACCCCCACAGGAAACTCCAAGAAATTCCTCTAGGACATACCCAAAGTGAGAGGTAAGAAAATTGTTTCACTACAGACATCCCCTGAACAGGAGAGAAGACAGTCCCCTAACAACTGAATCAAACTTGCCCTGGCCTCCCTATGAGGACACAGCCACGCTGAACCGTGAGCTCACCCCATCCCTTAGGCCCCATCTCCGGTAATTACGTGCTAACAATGCCATTTCTGACAAGAGAGACCTTATTCTTAGGTGTGGAGGTCTGGGGGACAGGATGGATCCCTGACACTCCCTGGTCCTACCCATCTGGGAGTCCTTTTCAATAGGTGCTGAGTTCTGTCACGTCATTATTCTACATGAATCCATACCATCCTGTGCCTTTCTTGGCTTTTCAGTAAAGTGCATCGTATGGGGATATTGGTGTCTATACTCTTGATGGACTTTGGTCTGTGGATTTGGGGTTTCTCTGATGGTTCTACTCTGGCAGCGGCTTTTCTGGTTTGATGGTTGGGCAATACCAACTTCATAAAATACATGGCGAGTTGTTCCCTGTGCTTCCACTTCCTGGAAATGTTTGTATACATTTGTTCTTCTTCACTCTGTGGTAGAATTCTCCAGGGCCATCATCTATAGCTGAAGATTTTTTGGGAGCTTCTTACATTAGGAACTTTATTTCCTTGATGGTCACTTGGCTTTTATGTAAGTAGCCACCGTGGGATGGTTTAAGATGGCCAGTCCCCAGAGCCCATGTGCTCATTCTCCATGACCTTTAGCAGCAGTCAGGAGGAGATTTTGGGTTCAGAGGCCACAAGGCTTGCTGGTGATGCTCCCAGCCACTGCTGCAGGCAGGCCCACCCCCGCCCACTGGCCCGTCTCTGGCTTCCCTGCCAGTGGGATTATGGAGGTGGTGCCACAGACACTCTGGAGTCCAGTGGCTTTCCAGAGGAGTCTTCTCTAACACCTGCCACCCACCCTCTCCACACATCTCAGGGAGGGGCCTGAAGAGCAGGAAAGGGATCCTTTGTGGCCAAAGCAATGGGCTAAAACAGAATCGAGTCTACAGTGGCTCAAGGAGAGAATCTCTGCTACACGAGGTCAAGGCACTTGAGTCCCCACCTACACTGGCTGAAGGTGCAGGAGTCTCTATCTACACAGAACAGCAGAGGGAGGCCCAGTGGTCCAGGCTGTGGTCAGGACGTCTGCTGGGCTCCTGCTTTTGCCCTGAGGCCTCTCTCTGGTTTTGGTTTTTCCTTTTTAAGTTTTATCTCCTCTATTTTTCAACCTGCCCTCTTAAAACAAAGCAAAAGAAAAAAGCCTTTGGAACATCAATTTTATTATTCAATGGGTGAGAAAGAGAAATTGATGAGGAACCATCGCTGGTTTCCCAGAAGCCCGGGAGGAAGGCCAGGGCAGAGCAGGGCAGGGGAAGTGTCCCAGGGAAGAGAATCTCTGATGTCTGTGGCAGGAGGGGGCAGAAAGAGTGGTGGTGGAGGCCGACGGGCTCTTGGCTGGAATCCACGCGGGGAGGCCCAGGCCAGTGGGCGTCCCTCAGTGCTGCAGCTGTTTCGGTGCCCTTTCTGACAGGTGCGGACTCTGAGGTCAGGCTGCTCGGAGATCGGGGTCTTCTGGCTGTCCCTTGGTCTGTGTGCCTCCTCAGGGCGCGTCCACTGGGGCCACTCTGTTTTGGAACCTAGGGCTCCTGTGGCCTCCCTGCACTGGTGCCGTTCTTCTTCGGGAGCGGGGTCCGCGGAAGCAGGGCAAGCAGCAGCACAGTTGCTGGAGGCTGTCAGCGGATTGGCCTGAGGACCCCTGGGAGGAGGAGCTGGGGCCTTCTGCCACACACCCGCAGAGGACCCTCCATGGGCTGGGCCTGGGGTCTTGGGGCCCGCGGGGCACAGGGTCCCCTCGGGAGGCTGGGCTGGGAGAGGCTGTGCCCACGTGGAAGAAGCGCAGAGGGATGGCGGGCATGCTGGCACTGACCGAGCCCCTGTGCCCTGCCTGCCTGGCCTCCTCTGGTGGCTGGTGCTCCCAGGGCACTGGATGGGCAGGCTCGCTGATGCACCTGCTGGGGCGCAGGCCGGGGGCATCCGCAGGGCCTCAGCGAGGCCCCACCACCCTTCTGCGCACAGGCCTCGCCTGGAGCGCCCACCCCGCCACGGCCTGGGTTCTCTGGTGCTGGAGGATAAGGTAGGTGGCCATGGCCTCGTCGTATTTCCGCTGGTCCAAGGACACCCAGGCGTGGTAGGGGTCGTAACCCATGTCGAACATGATGGTCATGATGGCGGGGTCTGGGTGTCTGGGGTGTGGGTCTCTGCGAGGACTGGGAGAGGGTTCCCTGCCCTGGCTCAGTCACGGGTGCCCCATTACCTGCTCCAGGGTGGCCCTCTGCCTGGGGTCCAGCCTCAGCATCTGCCGGATGAGGCTGCAGGAGTCCTGGGAAAGGTACCTTGGAAGGTGGTAGCTGGCCTGCATGAAGACGTCCTGCAGGCGGTTGGCGGCCCTGGCCTTAAGTGGGCGTCTCCCGGTGAGCATGAGAAACAGGGTAACCCCCAGGCTCCAGACGTCTGCTGGGGGACCCTCATATTCTTGATGCTGCACGATTTCAGGGGCACGGTATGGGACAGTGCCCCAGAAGCCGTTGAGCTTCCGCCCAGGCGTGAAGGTGGCGCCCAGGCCAAAGTCAATGAGCTTGACGCTGCCGGCCCTGATGTCCACCACCACGTTGTCGGGCTTCAGGTCCAGATGCACGATGCCCCTGTCGTGGCAGTGGCGCACGGTGCGCACGATCTACCTGAACACCGGGCGGGCCTGCTCCTCCTTCAGGCCACCGACCTCCAGGATGTAGTGCCACAGGTCTCCCCCATCTGCGTGCTCCATGACCATGTAGACGGTGCTCGGGCTCTCCATGAACTGGAAGAGCTGGATCACGTTGCGGTGATCCAGGGCCATCAACCTCTCCGGTTCGGAGAGGACGGGCACGTTCCCCTGTGCCTTGGACACCACTTTCACTGCCACCTCTGCCCCGGTGAGGAGATGGCGGGCCAGTAACACATGGCTGAAGTCCCCCTCCCCAAGCTCCCTCACCACCTGGTAATGGTCGGTGAGGGCCGACTCGTAGCAGGAGCTGGGCTCCTGTGACCCTACACTATTCTCTCTACTCTGACTCTGCATCCTAGAGCCGGAACACCAATAAGGACGCTAGCTCAAACAAACAAACAACAACAACAAAATAAAAATAAATAAATAAATAAAAATAAAATAACAAACCCCCCAAAAAATAATAAAACCAACAATCAAAAGTCAGAAGACAAAACAAAAGCAAACAAATGCCCAAATCAAAAAAACAACAGCAAAACACCACAACCACCAACTACCAAACGAGCTAACTATCTGGGAGTCCGACAGGTCACCACCAAGAGCTTCCTGTACTTAAGGACGAAAAACCCAGCTGCAGCTCCATTTTATATGGCCAATGCTTGAAAGAGCATCACAGTGGCTCCTTGTGAGGTCAGAGCAAGAGGTGACCGGGTCATGCCTGGCCATAACCCCCAGTGGTCATTTCACTCTAGGGCCTTCAGGACCTTTCCAACTTTCATAATAAGAAAGGACCCCAGAAAATTTTGTTTTGGGGAGGTTATGGAGAATGATAGTTATATGTGTAGACATTAAAACTTGTGGGGTACTCCAGTGGTCTTTTCACTTGGACTCTGATGAAAATCCATCATTACCTTGGGCTTTTAAAGGCCTCATCCGATTTACACCAACCACTCAATTCCTATTTCTTCCAACTCAGAATGACTGGTGTCAAAGGGATGGTAGCACTTCGCTCATGTGGTGATGCTAGCCCAAGAGCTTCTGTCCTCTAAGAACCTCCAGGGCTTGGTGTGAACACCTGCATGGCTGAGAGGGAGGGACTATTGTTTATCATCCTTTCCCCACAAGGTTCTCAGCAGGTTTTGCTCTAGAAACCCTGCATCACCAAAGGCAGTGGTTTGATATGTTGAACAGGGAAAGGATAAAATACAAAAGCCCAGAATCCTAAAACCAGCAAACATGTCCTTCCAATATGGGGAAGAAATGGAGGCTTCCCAGACCCCTGGGTCCCTTCCTGTTGTTGAAACAAAGTCCCTTAGACTGTCTTTTTTTTTTAACAATAGAAATTGACTTCTCACAGTCCTGGAGACTGGGAAGTGCAAGGTCAAAGCTCCTTGTTGCTGTATGCTCACGCGATGGGAGAGGCAGAAGGTTTGGGCTCATTCTCTCAAACCCGGCTTCCTGTTTGTCCATTTTGTGTTGTGTTGACCATTGAATCAGTGCCTTGGGTATGTCAGGCATGTCCTCTGCCACTCCCCTATTTTTGTTTTTTCTTAAGACAGGGTCTCATTCAGTTGCTCAGGTTGGGCTTGTGTGGGTGATCCTCCTGCCTTGGAGTCCCAAGGAGAGAGGATTAGAGCCTGTCATGGTTTGTAAGTGAGGTGCCCCTCTCCCTCATAGGCTCCTGTGCTAGTGCAGGGCTATTCAGAGGGGAAATGGTTGGATTGGGAGAGCTGGAACCTTCAGCCCATCCTAGCGTGAATGGACTGACTTGCTGGTGATTATAGGCAACAGAGTATAGATTTTAGAGTTGCACGCCCACACAGTCATGTGATTCAATCCTTGAGCTCTTTTTCACCAATCCATAGCTCTGTGTCTGTCTCTCTTTATTTATGTGTGATTCTGACTCTTCTTTTATACTCTAAAGATCTGTGTGTTATGATTTTACTATTGGGTTTTCCAGAAATACCACATAGCATTTCTTCTCATCACAGTGTCAAGAACTGTGAAGGGTTTGACATTTTACTCTACTTATAAGTTAACAAGTTAACCTAGCAAAGTTTTATGGATGTTGATAGAAGACTTGAAACTTTTTGGTCAGAGATGAATAAAAGTCAATTACCAAAGCAATAGAAATAGCAGAGTATCAGAATTTTTTATACTTTCTTCTTAGACCCAGATTTCTCTTTTTAAAAAATTTTTTTTTTAGATGTATGGACCTTTATTTTACTCAAATATTTATATGTGGTTCTGAGAATCGAACCCAGCGCTCCGCACATGCCAAGTAAACACTCTACCATTGAGCCACTGCCCCAGCCCCTTAGGCCCAGATTTCTAAAATGTGATACAAAGAGAGTCAGATTATAAGTACTTAAACTGTGGGTTACATTACAGTACAGGAATTCTGAGTTTAGGGAACCCAAATCTTTTATAACAGGCAATAATCACACTCGCTTTTTGCTCCACAGAACATTACAATTCTCTATCTTTCATGACTACTAGAACACCTGTCTGCTGCTCTGGAGGTAGACACTATCTCTATATTCCCAGCTATGCAAACAACATTTATATGCTAGTTCAGAACAAAGGGTAGATGGTGCTTCACTTATGAGACCTGAAAAACACAATGACTCATGGAGAATTGTTTCTCAAAACAAGATAAATCTAGCATATGGTCTGCCAGACCATAATGCCATAAATCTAGCATTATGGTCCAAATTGCAGAGCATCTTGCAGCAGAACCTGGGCTGCATGCAGAGCTCTTTCCTGCTCTGGGCTCTGAGAAAGCTAGCAGCCTTCCTTGTCATTTGGTAAATTAATTGGGTAATATCAAAAGTGTAGAATAAGTTTCATCTAGAACACTCCCCAAACCATGGGACTTCTTTTTGAAGGAGGATGTACAAGAGGTATACCCTGGAGGGAATTTTCCCATAAACTCTAGATTACTGGACTCTCATAAAATTCATGTATGGGTTGGAGTAATGAATCGTCACTGGGTTAATGTTCCACTTTTTGGAGTACGTGGATGTTACCAAAGCTTCCAACATACTTCCTAATTAAGCTTTAAGCAAATTTTTGTAAATAAAGTTTTATTGGAACACATAGTCATTCTCATTCATTTACATATCATTATGACTACTTTTGTGCTACAATGGAAGGATTGAGCAGTTGTGGGAAACCACAGGGCCCACAAAACTTTTACCTTGGGCCCTTTATAGAAAAATTTTGCTGACCCCTGCTACAGAGAAAAGCCACCCCAATAATGTGGGTTGTTTGCTTACTGCTGCATTCCTCTTTGCTTTGTGAAAGGGTTTTATCTTGTCCTTTCCATGGACAGATGCTAGGGTGGCTGATCTCTGTAGCAGGTGTCAGCAAAATTTTCTATATAAATATTCAATCTTATACAGCCTGATCTTTAGTATATCTACTTCTCTCTTGCTTTGAATTCCCTTCCTCTACCATTTGCCATGACAATATGAATTACCACTTTCTCCAAGCTTTCAGGAGTTATCCATGTGACAAGTGACTTGTGAAAGTTATTGACACCATAGCTGTATGTCAGTACTATCTTCCAGTCTTGCTAGGGAGCCAACAACAGAATATGCCACCATATCTATAAATTCTCCTTCCTTTTAAGCAATTTTCCCTTCCCACTTTGACCCAGCATCTTCAAAATCCTGTTCCAAGTGCCCTTCTTCATGATGGTACATGTTGGCTATTCCTTCTGCTTCTTTAGTGAATAGGTCATTTTCTCCCTCAACAGGCTTAGCATTTATTTCTTCCACTAGGTTATGGTTTTTTTTGGTCCATGTTGTCATACGATTTTGGTCTGAGGGCCAGGTTGGGGGGGGTGTCCTTCCTAGGAAAGGCACATGGGTTTTGCAAGGTAGAGCGTTCTGTCATCATTTCTGCACAGGGAGAGTATGGTTGCTTTTAACAGGGAGGGGGGTCATATCTGTAGTCCTGTGTGGTTCAGGTAAATCTGGGATTTTAGATTTCTTGAGTATATGGACTAAATAGCCTCACATCAAGTCTTGGGGTACCACTGCTTCTCAACCAGGCTCTGGCTTAGTGTCATAGAATTTTTGTGTTGTAAATTCAACCTCCTCTGGAGTTTCTTTGCTATTATACTTACTGAGTCTGATCCTTAGCCTTGTTTGTCCTGACTGCAGGAAATGACAATCACTTAATAAGCTGCCAAGGATAGACCCTTTGACTTCCACAATTCACTTGAGTTGGTGGTTAATCACCCTCAACTTTTCATGTTCTGTCC